ATTGGCAAGGTTAGATAGTCTTTCCTTCTTTTTAGGAATCCTTCTAGCTAAGCTGATTTATACTTGACTGCTCTTTAAACAAAGGCCTGTTACATAAAGACATTATCTGTAAAGAACAACACATGCTTTTACTAATACAGTTATAAAAATTTAAGAATGACAAATATCCTCTCATAATGGTTTTAGCATTTTTCAAACTGCATATAAGGAATGGAATCTATGATTAGAACATCATTTCCTATAGTCAGCCTGATATGATAATATAAGAATTCTCATATGATGCAAAAAGGGATTATCTAATCTACTATCCTATGATTCAGAGACACCAAGAATGTCCTTACTTCTAACATTTCTTCACGGAAAGTGGTATTTAAGAGCAAAATGAATCTGGAATAGCAGGTAATATTTACCATTATATCTAGTAGCTATTAATAACAAGCATAATATAAAGTTCTCTATATAGGTGAAAACTGAGTATTATTTATTGTGAATTTATTCAAGATAATGTACCATCTGCCTTCTACCAATTACAGAAACATCCAAGAAATCATAGTTTAGAAAAGAGGAAGGTAACATTAGTCTTCACTTTCTAGTTGCATTTACTTTTGCCACAAATGTTGGAATAAAATTTCTGTAATTTACTATTATTTATATTCATGTTTCTGTAACAAAACTGTTTTTGTTATGTATGGCCATTGCATTTGATTTTACGATTATAACTTGGGAATCAATATACAGACTTCCATAAGAATAAGTGGGAACAAAGGAGGAAACATGTCACATCATCATGATGCAATTCAATTGAAATACTTCTTTACTCAGATTACATCCTATACCATGACACAAGTATACAGCATCAGGGTTTGTGTCCTGAACATATTTTATCACTCAAGATATCTATGGCTATATGCCAAAAGTATATAGGATCAAGATAAAAAATAGAAGGTATGTTTTTAATTAAAACAGAATTAATATAATTATTTCCAGACCACTTAATAATGTTCATTTTGTCATATTAAACATTTTGGTGATATTTCCTACAAGATCTCTGGTAATTAAATTAAGCTTTCAGACTTTACTGAGAGATTCAGCATTTATGATCTTCAAAAATATACAACTAAGAAACTTTCATTTATTTATTTTTATTTATTTACATAACAGTCTTCTCATCTCCAAACAACTGTTTGCACTTCAAAAGCAAATAAATAAATGAAATTAATAAATAGGTGATAATAGTTAAAAAATCAGACCCCCAAATCTTATAGGGGCCTAACAACCACCCTGCCCAATAAATTATATGAACTGATAGCTAAAATAAAACATTCCTACTTCAATTCCAGCAACACTATCAGCTTTTTAATCTTTTTAATACAACCAGCATGCACATAAACAACTCAGATTATATATGAAAGTACAGATCATGTAATTACTCAGGAAAAAAACCTCAATATTTCTGCATATTACTGAAATGATTTATATAATCATTAGCAACAATAATGAAAATGTTATCTCTGCATTCTATCAGTTGTTAGTGGTACAATTTTTAATGTTTCAACAGTAAACTGCCAGCTTTGAAAATTATTTCAGTTGCAATTTAAGTGTGAAAGAATAATCAGTGACATAAGTAGGAAAGAGAAATCAGGCTCTTTAATTGTCAAACTAATCTATCCTAGGCTGTATCAACAAGAGGGATAGAATCAGGATCACATTAAGTGTTAGTACTGCTTTAGAATGCTTTGATAAGACCATATTTGGAATATTGCATCCAGTTTTGATCACCATAGTACCAAAAAGATAGTCAAACTCTAGAATGAGTGCAGAGAAGAGGAACAAAGATGATTCAGGGACTGGAGACTAAAACATATGAAGAACAGTTGCAGGAACTAGGCATATCTAGTCTAGTGAAAAGAAGGACGAGGGATGACATGATAGCAGTCATGAAGAAGTTGTGAGTGCTCCACCATTAGAGGTTTTTAAGAAGAGATTTGGTAGCCATTTGTCTGAAACAGTATATTTCTTGCTTGAGCAGGAGGTTGGACTAGAAGACCTCTAAGGTCCCTTCCAACTCTGTTATTCAGGTTTGTTCTACTCTTATGGTTACTGTCTTGTTTCTAAAAGAAAGCAGAAGCACAAAATAGAGCATAATCTCTTAAAGCACTAAAAATAGTTTAATGATTTCAATATCGGGTTCTTGTCAAATAAGCAGTGGTTTGCAGACTACCAGATTGTCAACTACAGCTTCCCACCATCTTCAGTATTAATGAGGTGGGGACTGAGATAGTTAGCAGCCTAAACCAAAGTCTGCTAACTATCTCAGTCCCCACCTCCTTATGGTAAATTCTCTGCATCTGTTCTCTGTTCAGCTAGTTCATGAAAATGAATCAGTGGATGAAAAAAGGTTCATTGAAGCATACAGGTGATAAAAGTAGCACTACAAACACCAGAATTCATAAAACAACAGCAAATAGATCTCAAGTGACTATGAGTCTGTAAGTGAATGTTAATTGCAACTGTGATCTCATGTAAATAATTTAAAAAGAAAAATAGAAATAGAAATACATATATGAGTATCTTAATAACATAGAGTGGAGATCAATGTAGGACATTGATTTGTCCATCATTTTAGTATTCAAGAGATTTCTACAGAAGATCATTCCATTATTTTTGTGCTAAAATATTATTATGGCTTTGAATATACAAAATAATCTAAGAGTGAAAAGGCCTACTGAATTTGGGGATTTTTGGGTTGAAAATTTAGCTTAAAATAGCTTTCAAACAGGGAGGACAGGGAAGCATACACAAATGTAACTATAATCATGATCTTATTCATTGAAAAATTGGTTTCCATTTTGCAGATAAAAATAGAGAGAGAAGGTGTTTGTTTAACTGGGAATCTATTATTTCCAAATATTTATTTAGGAGTCCACAACTGCCAAAAGTTTACAAAGTAGTGATTTGGGAATCTTTCATTGCATCATTGGAATAAAAATAATAATTCACGCTAAATCTTTGCTTAGAGGCTTGTCCTATAATATCTTCTAAAGGATTATCTCATAAACTAAAAAAGAAAACTCACTCTCCATGCTATCATCTACTGAAATGGAAATTCACTCTCTGCTATCATCTACTGAAATGGAAAACTTTCCCATGTATGTTCCTTGGTACTCAATCAATGCCTTGTATGGCAGTCAGTAAAATTTAACTAGTAATTTTCTCCTTTTGCATTAAAACATTAATCTATCTCATTGCATATTCTTTGCATATTTAATATTTTAGTTTTCCTATGAAGCACATTCTTGCTTCTATCATTCCTGGGGGGAAATTAAAGCAGAACAAAAGTGGTTATGTAAAATATATTTGTTGCTAGAATTATGGTGGAGACAATGAAGGGAGCAGCCTTGCAGTATTAAGATATTATAAAAATAGGAAAATTGTTTTATGGGATCAGAGGATTCGCTCTACAATTTCTTTTCCAGCACCAGTAAGACTGAAAGGCAATCCACAGAAAGGGTTTCCCCTGTCTTTCTTCTAGAGAATGAGCAAGCAAAGGGATTATTGCATTTGTTTTTGCAACTCATTGCTTTTCTTTGTGCACTATTGATAATTTGGAATATCAATTTCTCCATGGAGTGTTATTCTCCATCTGAAAAGGTTATTCTAAATCAACTCTGACCCAGGATTACTTCTAGCTCCTGCAAAACACATCTTTGGTGAAAATAATTCAGTAGACATTCCTCCTTATTTCAGTGTCTACATATGCCAGCAAGACAGTAAATCAAAAAGAATATTGTATTGTTTTTTAATTGCTCCCTGCCCCCCCCCAATGAGGTTCTGTACAGATAAGCTCAGTTACATTAAAATATTTGACCTTTAATTAAATGTCACTTTAAAAATCTTATTTCACACATTTTGCCTTTTTTTTTTGACAGTCACTTTGGTGGCCTAGGATTGTCAGATCTAAAAAGCTATAAGAAAATTATTGGTCACATAAACAATTATTATTTCTTGACAGCTCCCTCATATCCTCTACCGGGGGTGGGGTGGGGACACAAAAAAATGACTGGTTAAAACAAAGACCGAAAGACTCCATTAATCCTCCCGCTTTCTTTCCCCATCTAGAAAGATAGAGCATAATCAGGTATGTACTCCATTTGTCTCTCAGTCTTTCAGTGCCAAGCCCACTTTGACCTGAAGATATGGGAGAATACGGGAGACAGAGAAGGGGCCATGAGGACGGGAGAGAAAAAAGAGAGGTACCTGCGGCCCTTTTAACCCCAACCTCCTCGGTCGCGCAAGGAGAGGCTGAGATCACGTTTTTATTGTCCTAAGGGAGCGAGCGAGGGAAGGCAACCCGCCCTTGGTTACTGAGACTGAGGATGTTGGGCGCTGTAGTCCAACACAAACGGCCAGGCTGAGGGGAGCGGGGGACGGACAGCTACTATGGGGCGAGAGAAACCGGTCTCCACACAAAAGAAAAAGAAAGCAGAGCGTTCACACTTCTTCCTGGGAGAAAATTAAGGACTCCTCCTTTTCTGAGGAACGAGGAAGAGGGGGAGGATAAAACAAACAAACAAACAAACCCGTCCCTTTTCTCCGCCACCGTTTACTGTACCTGCCTCCGGCTCCTTCTCCTCCTCCTCCTCCTTCAGGTGCCTCCGCCACTCCAGGTCCATCAAGTACAATATGCCGGCGAACAACTTCCTCAACGGCCGCCGGCGCCGCCGCCGCGCCTTTTCTCCTCACACTCTGCCCCGCCCCCTCACGAGTCTTGAATGCGGGGGGGGAGGGAGTGTTTCTGTCTGTCTGTCTGTCTGTGTGTGTATCTGTGTGTGTGTGTGTGAGAGAGAGAGAGAGGGAGAGGCGAAGAAAGAAGAGAAAAAAATACCCAATGAAATACCGATCCCTACCGCCGCTCTCGCTGGGCAACTAGCTAGAACAAAAGGAGGAGGTGGGAAGGACACTGCGCTTCGGATGGGCCTCTGCAACTAGGCAACGGTTTCCATGGTGAAGAGAATCAACTCGCAGGCGGCGGCTTTGGAGGAAGGAGCGCTGTACAAGAGACTAGGCCGTTGTGTGGAGCGTGAATGGTGGGGGAGTTGTGGAAGAAGACAACTATGTCCTTAATGGCCCCCTCGCCCTCGCCATCGTTAATGTCGTTGCTGAAGCTTTAAAGAGTCAAAACAGAACAGGTGAGAGCTTGTGTGGTAGCAAGCCAGTCATCCAAATGGTGGTGCTGTTAGAAGAGAATATTTCTAGCTCAGAGTTGAGCCTTGGGTCCTTATGGGGTGGGTCATGTTGCCTAGTTTGGTAATGAAATGTCTGCAAGAAAACAAACTTACCAGAGCACGAAGGACCCCACAGATGCACAGTTCCCTCTACACATCTTGACATATATGATAATAACAATCTTTAATTCAAATCATTATTTTTTTTGCTTTGCTTGAAATTATACCCTATGTTTGAAAGGTGATTATTACAATGCCTGTTTTTATGTTGTGAAAATATGTGTAGGAAATTATATTATTACTTTTTTTTCTTTGTTTGCTGCTTTGGACATCCTGCAAAGAAATATGAGATATCTAGTAGAAAGAAGTAATTAGATTAGGACCTTGGGTTCAAGAGTTGTGATCTTGGAAGGTCCTGTCTTACATCTTTATCTATTTGACAGTGTCAGTGTGCAGGTGGATTGACATCTGCTGCTCTGAGTTGCTAAAAAAAATGGAATAGAAAATGGGAGAGTGGGATAATTTTTAAATATTTATATAGATAGGCATTAGGGTAGTCACTAACAAATCTTCATTATTAGTATTAGCAATATCAGGTTATTTTAAATAGAATCCTTATCCATATATGACTTATTAACATTGAGAAAAGAGTCTGTACACTACAGTATACCCTCCATTTTTTTTAGTGTAAAACAAAATTGGGAAGGAATTTTATATATACAAACTGATGTATGAGATATATGATATATCTCATATATATGATATATGAGAACAGTCTAACTCTTCCTCAAATTTAAATTCAGTAAAATACATATTAAATAACAAAAGATTATAAGCGTAGAGTTTTAATTAATTATTTTCTTTTATTACATCTTCCATTTAGTAAAGAAGACAAATAATATTTTTAGAACAAAAAAGTACATTTTCTTTATTTGGAAGTAAAGCATCTAGAAAATGTTTTCCACCTTTTATTTGAGGAGTTATGTTTCTAATCTATAGTAGTGTAACTGCTTATATAACAATGCTATTTTTACTATTGTTAATTATGCTAGCATATCATTGCTGACATCGAGTATATGATTGCAATGATCTTTGTTGGAATCCCTATGGGGGGGGGCGACGACAATATAAATACAGATACCAACTTCAACAAATAATGACGACATATCCAAATTAATAGATCTTTTAAAAAATTGTTTTTACTTCTTTTCAGAGGCCTGACATAGGAACTCAGAAAACCCAGGCCCAGAATATTCCTGTTATCAACTTTCAAGACCACTTTTATTGTCAATAGAAAACTGACATCAGGTAGGCCTCACATGGTACTGCATGAATTGGGCACGAGCCCAATCTTCAGTTTCAAAGCCAAAGTCATAACCTTTCAAAAGAGGGAACTTTTGTGTAGATTTAAGAGATTTGTAATACATTGCATACTCCATAAGAGAGAGCATATTTGTCTGTAACATCTATCAGTGGAATGGATATCTCTCAAACATGCTTCAGACTGCTTTGCTGGGTTGAGGAACCTGTTGGAGCAGATTTGAAGGGACAGGGAAGGGTTCTGCTTCATTTATTCATGTTAATATTAGATATAGCTGTCTTTAGCTTTCCCACATTAGGTTCTGAAAGCTTAGATACAGGGGTAGATTTCTGCTGGCGTTACTGCCGGTTTGGTGCATATGTGATTTGCACGCGCACGTGTGCAGTTGCCTGTAAATACGGCTGCACATGTGCAGAACATTAAAAATGTCAAAAAACAAACAAACATGCTGCGGCAACCAGGGAACTGGTTTGGAGGTGTGGCGAGCCTACTGTCCCTACTGGTTTGGTGATCCAGTCACAATTTCCACTACCGGTTCACCCAAACTGGTGCAAATCGATAGCAACCCACCTCTGCTTAGATAACATAATAGCAATAGCACTTAGACTTATATACCGCTTAACAGAGTCAGCTTATTGCCCCCAACAATCTGGGTTCTCATAAGCTTATAACCTCAAATAATCTCACTAAAGAAAAATCAGCAGTGTAAAAAAACCCTAATAATTATATTAATTATATATAATTGTCAAGCTCGCTTTCATTGAGGGCCGCATCAGGGTTGTATTTGACCTTGGGGGGCTGGGGTGAGCGTGGCCAGCTCAATGTCACTCATGTCGGGGGCACCTGTGGCGGCCCGAGTGCTCTGCCAGTGAAAATGGGCTCCCAAGTTCCGTTTTGGATGCAATGGCCTCCTGCAACCCTCTGCCAGTGAAAATGGAGCTCAGGAGGACTGCACAGAGCCCTTCCAAGCTCCTTTTTCACTGGCAGAGGCACTGTGGGGCAGTCCTTTGCTGTTTACAGGGCTGTCCCGCGGGCCAGATCTAAGCACCCCGCCATACGGATCCAGCCCCCGGGTCTTGAGTTTGACACCCTTGTATTAATGGATGCTCAGAAAACAAGTTGATCAGGTGTTTCAAGATTCTCCCTCAATATATATTTTCCATTAATGAAGGAATCAGTACCTTTCTTTCTCTATATATTTTGAAATATATACTGGAAAATTAAGTGCTGTTTTAAAAAAAGATCCTCATATTTTCATAGATTTCCACAATCAAATAATTCTGAAGTTAAGCCCAGAAATGAATTGAATTTAAGATATTTCTTTCCAGAAAGAAAATTTTCTTTAACTTTCTATAAAGTTATTGATTTTTATAAAGAACCAAAGTTCCACTTTTCCACTGGAAAGGTGAAAGATTAAACCCCACATTTCTTTATTCTATAAATCATAACAGTTTTTGTAATTACATTCTTAATTTCTGGATCAGAATAATTGAATAGAGTACAATATTCCCTGAAATGACAGGAAGATTGAAAGAGTAGAGTAATCCTTTAAAATACAGAATTACCAGTTGTATTTATTATGCAAGAGACTTTTAGTGTAGTGTTTAAGATACCAGGCTAGAAACTGGGAGGCAGGGAGTTCTAGTTCCTCCTTAAGCAAAAAAGCCTACTTGGTAACTTTGGGCCAGTATCTGGCTTTCAACCTTAGAAAGGAAGAAATGGCAAACCAATTCTGAAAAACCTTGCCAAGAAAACTGCAAGGAATTGTGCAGGTAGTCTCTGAGAATTGAATATGACTGAACATAAGGAAAAATATATATCATGGACCAAATTTAGAAGGAAAGTCTGTTTCCTTCTAAATCATACTTTATGTACAGTATACATAAGGTGGGATAAATTTGAATTAAGTATATTTGAAAATTCTTTAGGGACACCTATGTAAAGTAAAAAAATATTCTAGGTACTACCACCACTTCCAAGCCTTTATTACTTTATTAGTGTTGTTAGAATCCAGTGGCATCCAATTTAAACTGTTTCTTCTATAAAAGCCTAAATTTATATATTATAGAAGTTAGGGACTTAAATTTCAAAAGTATGAATAATACATAAAATAACATCTGGCCATAAAATCATCCTTGTCTAAACTAATGTCTTGAACATATATAGATATTCTTAATAGCATAAGGGAGCCCTAAATAACATAATTTTAATAGGAATTGAGAATGACTTGTTTATTTATCATGTTAATATGTAATATATTTTGAGGCAGCTTAGAATGTTCCATGAGATCAGTCTATGTGGTTTATTCAGAAAGCTATAGTAAAGAAAATAAGAACATTCACTATGAGTGTTAAATAATAATTAAGGGACACACATACTTACCCAAATTTCAAAACCTCAAAGTATTTCTGAAAATATTGAGTAATTCCAAGTATATCAAAACCCTTTCCTGTGTACAAGAAATAATTGCAAGTGGAGTGTACTTATTTAAAGATAAAACTGCTATATCAATTAGAAGTGAAATACAAACACTGAGGCTAAAATAACAGGGTATGAACTATAAATCAAATCACAAAATTGTTGTTTTGGGGAGAATGTTTGCAAGAAGATACTACAATAGGTGATTTCTCTACTTTCCTAATTCAGAATTAGTTTAGAAATCTTGGATACAACATTTTTGTTTCTTCTGTTTTATGTTTCAACATTTTTCTTACATTCTTGATTTCACCTGATGTACGCTATCCAGTTAACATTAAAATATAGCTTATAGTGAACTCCAGTTTCTCCTGGCTAGAAAGCTCATACTTAGGTACTGTTTTTTCCTTTCTTAATGGATTTCAGGAAGAAAACAAAGTATTTCATTGTTTATGGCCACCCACTAATGGAAGGAGTGAGGAAATTGAAAAAAGGTTGCAATAGAAGACAATATCCTGTACATTACACATACAATTATATTAATGGGCTGAAGTCATTGCTGAAAAAAACCTTCTATTGAAGCCATTCTGCCCTCCCTCTTTTCTTATTTCCAATATTTATATACCCTGTTTCCCCGAAAATGAGAACTATCCCAAAAATAAGCCCTAGCATGTTTTTTTTAACTCCTGGGTGTAGAGCTTAATATAAATCCTTCCCCCCCCCAACAAATAAGCTGTACTTAAGAGCCTGCACAACTGCCCGCCCACCCATTCTGTCTGGTTCCTCGTGGTGCCACAGCCATGAGGCAAGGCAGTTGGATAGTGGAGCTGTCCTACACATCCTGCACCAGCTTACCCCAGGGCCCTCATAGCCAAGCCATCCATGCCCTGACACTTGCCTTGTGGTGGCAGCACTAGCAGCCAATGGGTGCCAGTCCATTTCTGCTTGCTCACAGCTGCAATGGAGCAGGAGGCTGAGCAGTGTGTTGGTGCCATGGCTGCGAGGCAAGGATTGGGGCATAGGAGGCCTGGCTGTGGGGGCCCTAAGGTAAGCTGGTGTGGGGTGCATGTGGAGCAGCTCCATCCTCCTGCCTTGCAGTGGCAGCACTGGCGTGCAGCATGGCTTCTTGCCCCACTGTGAGCAAGCGGAAGAAGTGGACCTCCTGTTTTTTTCCCGGGGGGGGGGGAAATGAGGCACCCCCAAAAATAAGCCCTAGTTATTATTTTGGGGCCCAAAAGAAAATAAGACCCAGTCTTATTTTCAGGGAAACACGGGTAGGTAAAATTGCCATACTCATGTGCAACGGCAGTTACTCCGTTTTAGTTTACATACTGTATCCTATGTTTTTTCTTATGATTATTTCTTCCGCGTATTTTGAAATCTTACACTAATAAAAAACAATATGAATGAAAACAAAGATGAAATCAATCGCATGATTACATATTAACTGATAAAATTTCCCGTCTTAAATTAAATACACTGATTTATTCAACCATTTAAAATACAGACTCTTACGTGTAAAGCCTGTATGTCTTGGAAGCCCCAGTTTAGAAATTCTGCTGAGTTAAACCGGGATTAGCACAATGCAAAAAAAAAAACTAGTCTAATGACTTTAGTTAATATGATACAAGCATTATAGTAATTAATCTTTCTTAAATATAATTAAATTACGTCTGTGAACAGCTTACCTTGGCTCCTTGCCTTTCTGTGAGGTTTATTGGGACTTCAAATTCCGGTCTTTTTGTGTTGTAAAGCGATATAGCTAAAAATACTGTAGATATCTTGTTGTTCCATTCCCTAATTGCTAATCCTTCAAAACAGATACGTCACAACACACAGAAGTACGATTTTGAATTGTTAAAACAGCCTTACAAAGAGGCATCTGCAAATTGCTTATGAAGCAGCCATACTAGCCAGGAGAAAAATGTGGCTGCTTTCATAATTTGAAAAAAAGTATGTGCTGCAATTTACCTCTTTCTAAGGTTTTGCACAACCCCACTATTCATGAGTAGAACACAAGCATATATCGTCTACCTTACAAAAACTGTAGCGTTCCAGCTCAATTATAACTAATTTGATTACAATTTGTAACATGGATATTTTTATGTTTCTAGGAATCACCATCCAATTTTGTTATGCTTTTGATATTGTAATAAATATCATTGATTTTTTGCACTTCCGAAAAATGTGCTTTAGAGTAATGAGGCAGAAATATTTGTAGGTGGGAATGACCTGAGGAGAACAAAGCAGAATGATAAAATCCTGTAAGAAAAAAACTTAGGAGCAATAGCTGGAAATGTTGGGATATGTTTATCCACGAGAAGATTACCCACCCACCCCTTGAGCCATTAATGTTAATAACATGATGTATTTGAAGCTAACGGAACATTACATCAGATTAGACTTACATTAAGTTCATTGCAACAGTAGAATTGTGATATAGTTAAGACACAGATCATTGTTGCACATCCATTTGGCTCAACCTTGCCCAACTTCTCACCTTTTAGATGTGTTGCACTTGTGACTGCAGCTTCCAGAATTCCCAACCAACATGCTAACTTAGAATTCTGACAACTATAATGCCAACATCTAAGGAGTACCAGATTGAGGGATGTTCATTTATAATCATTGAGCTAGAAAGTAACTTAGAGACCATCTGGTAGTCTTATTCCCTATCCAGTGCAGGAATTCTATACTACAGCATCAGCCTGTGACTAAACGTATCCAACAAATAACGGTCTATCATCTCCCACTTTGAACATCTTTTATCATTATGAAATCTATGATGCCCAACTAAAATCTACGTTTGCAAAATAATTCAAATATTGTTATTGCCATTTTTAATTATTTTGGCTCCTTTCTATGTAAAAAGACATGGCATTTGGACCTCCCAAAAACCTGAATGGTCCCAAGATGCAAACAAAGATGAGCACCTGGACACCACTGAATCATCAGCTCATGAATGATAAGGTAAGTTTTAGGAACTTTATAAATTATGAATCATTTGTGTTTTTGCCCACTTTCTTAACAGCTATGCAGGCCTCCAGCATGTTAGGTAACAACAGCATCAAGATCATTCTTGTATGATTCTAATAAGCCCCTTTTCTGCTTGGAGAATTGCCCTGGATAAAACCCAGATAGTTCGTGTTTTAGCAATACTTCAGACTTTCCAGACTTGATATCTTTCACATACATTGAAACTATAAATTGTCATTCCCTGGCAACCTCACAACATTGCAGAGAGCTCTAATCACATGATCACATTTTCAAACTGCACTGCGTGCTTCCCACAAGCAAACTCAGTGAGGAAACTAGTAGGAAAAGTTGCAAGGCACTCCCTCATTTTTTTCCCATAGGTGCTTTTTCAAGAGGCAACTGGACTTCTTTGTTTTTCTTTTAAGACATTTCGCTTCTCATCCAAGAAGCTTCTTCAGTTTCTTGGATGAGAAGTGAAACATCTTCAAAGAAAAACAAGAAAGTCCAGTTGCCTCTTGAAAAAAGCACTTTTGGGACAACCATGACCTGGATGACTGAGAATCTCCATAGACATCCTTCATTTTTCCCACCACAGCAACCTCCCACCCACGCATAGCCTATATCAGCCCACCCTCAATTCACTTTTGGCCCGCACTGGTTCTCCTCAAGCTCTCCAGTCCTCTTATGGCATTCATGCACTTCTTATCTGGGACTTCTGTGTCTTCCTGTGTATTTTGGGGTTACAAAAGCAATCAGGAGGTTCCAGGATTCCCATTACTAAATAATGTGGTCATGTGATGTTTTTCGATCATTGTATTGAACTGAAAATTGTATTAAGGTCTTCTGAAGCAGATAGGATTCCGATCATTTCTTAAATTAGAATTGCCTCTTTTATCCTGTTCCTCTGACAGCTTCATTTACTTAATTGTTTCTAATAATGTAATGAGTCATTTCTTATTGAATCTTAGAAAAAGTAATTTTAAAATTAGTTTTATTTCTTTACAGGTATTTGAAGAAAGAAGAAACTTGTTGGGGAAATGGGTAATCATCTTTTATTTCAATTGCTCTGTCAATCTTACAGGCTTCAATATTTATTGTACAATATCTAGACGTCACTGGGAAATGTAAGCGTACTCCAAAATCGTTACAATCAGCATTTTTTAAACCATAGAACATAGTGTGTGAATATTTTTAAAAAGAGCATAACATTTATCTAAGAGTATTTCCAAAAAGGGACTTTCACAATGTCCCTTTCACATTCATTCATTGATTTAGAGGTTATTTATTCCTTATACTATACATAAACAATGTATTCTAGGTCTTCAAAAAATAGGTTTCCTAGTGTGTATTCAGTATATAACAGTTTATATCATGCCACTTTTATGAAATTCTTACTTGCACCTAACTTTTTTCTCTTAGGAATAGAGTTTGAAGTAGGTTGCCAGTGATACAGTAAAAAACTTTAGTATCTCACAGTATCCTTCCTTCCTTCTATATAGTGGCTCATACATTACTTTAACTGCTTACAATAACATATATAAAATATATTACAATCAAAGCAGTTGAGGAAAGTTATCATAGACTTATCAGTACCTGAATGACTGTCTTATACAAAATTGCCTGATCTCCATCAAAACACAAAATGCAGAATAATGCTCTTGTTATAGGAAGACATATTCTAATTGAATATTAATGATATTTTAATAGTAAGAGCAATTTGAAAGTGGAACCAATTATGGAGGGAAATGGTGTGCTTTCTTTAGTTGGATGTGTTCTAGTGGGAGGCTGGACAATTATTTGTGGGAAATACTTTAGGGGCTTGACAGTTCCTTTCAACTCTTATGATTCTGTGTTGCTGATTTTAATAAAAAAGTGCAGTCTACTTTTGAATGATGTCCCATGTTGAGGACAAAGCAAAATGTATTCTTTTTTAAATTATGCTTATGAACTGTCCACAAATACCTAGATAATACTTCTAGAGGCAAAATGTGGCCTGAATGAATTCTTGGCGGACATTTCTGTCCTTTGAAACAAGGAAAGGTGCAGAGATCTCTTTCACTTTTGGAATTAGCTTAAGTTCATAATTGGCTTTGCAGTTTATTGCTTGTAAACTATAATGAGGGAAAGTCACTTGTAAATGGCTCCCCCAGAGGTCATGAAAATCACAACTCCGTTTTTTCCCCACAGTTTGACAAGTGGACAGACAGTCAAAGGCGAAGAGTCCTGGCAGACTTCTTGGAGCACTGCTCCCTTTCACAGCTGAAATTCTGTTTCAAACTGCTGCAGGATCGAGTGCCAATTGAAGCACTGGATTTCACCACCCAGCTTCCCCGAGTGTTAACTTTGTACATCTTTTCTTTCCTGGATCCTCGAAGTCTCTCCCAATGTGCCCAGGTAAAACTCAGCATGTTGGAAAGGATGCAGCGGAGAGATACAAAGCTGAACTCACTGGGTAGGTTTAGCCTAGAGAAGGGAAAGCTAAGGGAATTATGTTAACAGACTTCACATTTTCAGAGGTGCTGAGGCAAAACAATAGTTACCTATGCTGCTTTGTAAAAGGCACAAAGAAATGTCTTACTTAATAGGTATTGATTATAGTTTAGGAAATATTTCCTACTGGAAAAGCTCTTCGACAACAAAATGAGCTGAGTAAGGAAGTGCTAATGAATTTCACTTGTGTAGCTTTTCACAGTAAGACTGGTCAATTCTATATACCTTGATGGGGACATGGGAAGTAGATTAATTATCTGAGTCTTTTCCAGCTAGCAATTTTACAACACTTGAGCATAATTGCAAGATCAGTTTAGAGTCACACTGGCATTGATGAATTTTCAACTCATTGTTAAGGCTCATCAACATACCTAATTTAGGTCCTAAACTTTATGGTTCTAGTTTCTGACAAGTTCAGCTAAAAGATTCTCAAAATATATATTTCAGTTGTGACCTTGGAGACCCATTTTACGTCAGAATAAATAATAATGGGCTAGATTTATAGTCTTCCCTCTCCCAAAGTCCTTTGAATAGATACAATTCTAGTAATAGCTGGCCAGAATGACTGCTAATTGTGCTTCCTTGGGATCATGCCAATTTTAGTTTAAAATATGTAAAGCGAATCAGAATGGGTTGTAAAGTAGCCTTTATTGGTGACTAAGACGACTCTTAACTCCTTTATAAAACACCTGCTTTTTATACAGTACTTTGTGTATTTGCAGGAAATACATCTAATCACATACTGCAAATTAGAAGATATACAATTATGAAATGTAGCACTGACATATACTTCAAAAGTCCAGAGTCTAGGTTGGATCAAAGAATATATATTCAAATGAATACTTCCTTGGAATTATCAATTAGAGTTAAAACAACACTGTGTTTTAAAATTGTCAAAATGTGTTTTGTATTTGGAGGATGTGCCCCATATCTCATGGGTTTTTGCTATGATATAGTCCTTTGAAACACAGTAAAGGTATTTTGGCACTTTCAGGTAAATTGGCACTGGAACTACTTAACCCAGCTTGATCAACTCTGGATGCCAAAATGTCTGCGTTTTGAATGGTACATCAATTTCTCTCCAACTCCATTTGAGCAAGGAATCTGGAAGAAACACTATATTAAGAAGATAGAAGAATTTCGAGTGTCCAGACCTAAGGTATTTATTAAGCCTTTGGAAGATGAGTATTTTGGATAATAAATCTGAATGTTATATTATATATTGGATGTTTGAAATTTCCATATGCAAGTATGTTTTAGTAAACATGGGAAACATTCAGGCTTATAATTCCATATTGAAGCAGAACAGTTTTATAAGATTGTACTAGATGCTGTTCTGAAATACTGAACTGTCTCATAGAATGTATAATCTCCTGAAAATTCATGTGTGGATATCTGAGCTGGTACTTCAAAGTGTTTATGTATAAAAACGTATAGTGATGTAAATTTAAAGGAAGGTCTTTGTTTTGATGATAGAGCACATTGCTGGTGCATCTGGGGAATACAGATGGAGATGGCTCCATCTGTATTCCCCAACAAATTTATATGGTGTTGGAAAAAACTGTTCTCAGATGATGTTGAAAAAGCTGGAGCAGATTTAATACAACTCAGTTATGTTTCTACTGCATCCAATTAAATACAATAACCAGAGATTCTGGCCATACTCAGTTTGTAAAGAATGGATGAAATTTATTTCTGCATGGTATAATGATGGTCATTGACTTGTTTGGCTTTAAAGCCTAAAGACAATTTCACATAAATATATTTGTCATGGCTGGTCATGGTCTCTAAAGAAAATTTATACAATCAGAATTAATGTTCATCAAAATATTGATACCTGACAAGAAAATATAGATCAGTGATGGTGAACCTGCCAAATTGCGTGTGCGTGCACACACCAATTCAATCCTCCCCGCCCACCTGTGCATGTGCAGGTCTCTCCTCCCCCCCCCC